GGGGGGGGGGGGACTGCTGTTTCATAAATACCAGTGAATGGAATCAGTTGCAAAATTATTTGGATTGTGGTTCAAAAATACAGCCAAGTAGCATTCTTTAATAAATCTGACGTTGCTACAAAACCAGGGGAAAAAACCAACTTCTTCACAAACTATTCACTGCAAATATAAATCCCGTCTTTCCCATTGTATCTGTTTGTACATTCTCTCACTTACTTATGACTGCCTTTCCATCCAAACATTTTTTTAAGAAAAGTGTTTGGGCTTCCTCAGTTATTAGTGTAGGGGAGGGATATTTTAGAGATCTCTGCATTTATTTTAGAAAGTCTCCAAAACGTTTAAAAACAGATGTTTTCTTGTTTTCTTTTTTCCTGCAGAATTATGAAAAACTCATTGAATCAAAAACCATGCAATGGTTCTCCGGCTTATATATAACTTTCATAGCCATTGCAAATGGAGCTCCAATTTGCTAAATATTTCATAGAAGCATTGTTATCTAGGAATGCGTTTCTAATTTATTATTCATATTGTTGCTTTTCTCTTTCATTTCCCACCAGAAGTTTTGAGTATTTCTGATCACTGCTTTAAAAAATAGGAGCTAGAAATCTGAACCAAAATCAGATGATAAAGGTGATTATGAGGATGATATGGGAGGAAGAGGAAGAACAGAATAAAGTTTCCTTGATAGAAGTCATATAACATACATAGCACTTAGCATTAATTCTAGGTAATGCCTATATGAAGCTCACAACTGGGGATGAGCAAAATAGCCCCCTTGTGTGTTCCCCAGAAATTGGAAATGAGTTTCCACGTTTAATATTTAAAACTACTATTAACAATTTGGGTGTTTTATGTTTAAATAAAACACCCAATTATTTTTATTTTTTCTTTTCTCTCCCTGTTCATTTTCCCTTTGGTGTCCAACTTGTTGGATAGGAGATAGCCTCATACACCAGAAAGAATGTGTGAGAGGAACTCTAAAGTTAGGAGTATAATTTTTGTAAGGAAGCAAGCCTCAGGCTGGCGCTTGCATGAAAGAGAAATATAAATATAACCTTTAGGTAGAAAAATAGCATTGTGATAGGAAAGCTTGAGTTACATCAATCTATCTACAGCTGAAAGCCAATATTATGTTCTCTTCCGTAAAGGATAGAGAACGAGGCAGATCCTTACCTGAACTGCAGAGCTCAGAGACAGATGAGAAAGAAGATTGAACTGAAGGAAGAAGGAAGGGATGTTAGCCCTGAGAGTATCAGTTTAAGCATATACAGAGTTGGGTTTTTTAGGCCAGGAAATACTCTCCTGGGGATTGTAGGTCTACCAAGACCACGTTGGCTTTGGAATTTTCCATGGCTCATTTTGGAGGGGACATATTTTTGCTTGCTTTGCTCCAGGGTATTTCACTTCTGATATGATATGATATGATATGATATGATGATATGATATGATATATGATATATGATATCATATGATGATATGAAATATGGAGACAGGGATGCAGCAGCACGGTGAATGTCTACCATAGGAAGCCTCTTCTTGAGGACCACCAGAACTAAAATATCTTCCCCACATAAAGTCATCTGCCTTTTACTCTTGCCTTCACAGATTGCAATTAATTATCTAGTTATGGTCAACCACAACGAAAAAACTTTCCAGTTCATTTCTGAGGAGCTTCAAACCAAAGTTTTTGTAGACTCCAATAATTAAATACGAAGTTATTTATCACCACCATTTTTAGTATCTCAGTATTCCCCCTCCCTCCCCCAATTTCTGCTATTGCCACAAAATTTAGCATGACCGAAACTGCTAGTTTCA